AGTGTGGCCCCATCACACTTGCTATCTACCTCGACCCCTCTCTTTCTATCGGCTTATCCGACTCGGGCCTACAATCCGGATCCCTTTATTTTCTCGTGGATCCGTTCCCTATATTTCTGGTTGACCGATTTCACTCGGTTCCAGTCCCTGTGTGCATTTCACTCCAGGAGCTATTTGTCAAGGCCATAGAAACACGTACACTGCCGCCTCACTGAGCACAGCGCCTAAGCTCTGATTGCCCTGCTTGCAGTTATTAGGCCTTCCCTTCATGGGTCCTCTACCTTGATTAAACTCATGTTATCTGAGCAAATTGTGACCTTAAGAGACCCTACCACTCGGATAAGGTTAATGAGCATCTCCACCAGGCTTCTATTCAGAAACTGAGTGAGACCTATGATACTGAACGTTATAAGTTGTTTAAGTGGATAGATATTAAGTCAAAGATCCGGCCTGATTTTGCCAAGATCCTGACTCTGGAAGATTTTCAAAAGCTACAGAGCATGACTGACAGAAAATGACGTAGGATTTCTGACTTAATAACAAGACGGTATGACGATAATTTGCGTAAGTTTGGGATTTTTATACAGCCTAAGTTAAAGTCAGTACGCCAATTTGAAGTGGCTTCTGAGGTGATAACACTTACTGATCAGCACGGCGATAGAAGGAAAGTATTAAACTTATAATCAATTCCTCTCAATCCCAAAACAACTGCGTTACTGGAAAAAGGACTCAAATTTTCAATTTAACATCACAGAAGCCTTCTAGGAGATATCTTCGTAGAGGTTATCAATATCACCGACAAGTTCCCTGAGAAGACAAAACGGGAAATGGAGATGGAACTAATTACAAAGATCTTGACACATCAGGAGCCTACACACAAGAACAGATTCGCTGTGATACGCAAAACTCTGGAAACGGATGAACAATTAGTCTTTCAGGTGAACAAAGGAGGAGCTACAGTTATAATGTATAAAAAAACATTATACCGAGAAGATGGATCATATCGTACAAGACAGGACCACATATCGTATATTGAACAAGGACCCAACTATGAAAATTAATGGCATCTTAAGTGGCATGCTGAAAGCTATGCATAGGAATGAGGGAAATTGACGCATGGACATTAAATTCAATCATAAGAAAGGATGCACGACCACCAACGGCATACGGATTACCGAAGATACAGAAATAGGGCCAGCCACTAAGGCTGATAGTCAACAACAAGTATGGAGCAACACAAATTGAAAAAGTTTATATGTTTAAAACTCGATAAATTAAATAAAAGGCTAAGACGGTAAAACATTCATATGAATTTTCTAAAAAAAATCAAAACATGGAACTTGAATAAGCAGGTTTATTGGTAAGTTTCGATGTGGAATCCATGTATACAAGTATCTCTGGAGAAAATGCGCTAACGGCCCTGCTGGAAATCCTAGACCGAGAGGATGATATCCTAGAATTACAACGGATCGGTAGGGAGTCCTTAACAAGACTAATCAATTTGAAAATAAGGACAACCTATTTTACATTCAACGAGAACATCTATGAACAAATATTTGGACTTCCCATGGAATCGCCGTTCTCCTCACTTGGCCAACGTATACATGAACAAAATAGAAGAGAGTTTCAAGATGGCACCGCTACAACCGGCAATGCTTATGCGTTACTGGATGATTACTTCGCACATTGGTCACATGGAAGAGAAAAACTGGAAGAGTTTCTGAAGTTTGCAACTCAAATTGATGAAAAAATTCAATTCACGATGGAAATAGAGGAAGGTGAGCGGTTACCGTTCCTGGACGTTGAAGTGATTCGTTCTAATGAGACGCTCAAAAAGAAATTGTTCAGAAAGAAGTCCTATGCTGGGATAATACTCAATTTCCGGTCCCATTACAATTCCAGGCTAAAGATTGAAATAATGAGGAGCATAATTATCCGAAGCCTACGCCTGACGGATGCAGATTTCTGGGACGAGGAGCTAAACAAATTGACAAGGATATTCCTTGGCAATGGCTACCCTAGCGAAGTGATACAAAGAAACATACGGGCCGTGAAAAGCCGATGGCAGAACGGGGACTATGAAAACACAGAAAGGACGATGAAGGATTCACAAAAGTGAATATGCCTACCTTCCTGCGAAATAACTCAAACTACCGCCAATATTGAGTAAATGGAATATTCAGATGGTCATGAAGGAGAAATCAACACTTTTCACTAGTCATCCAACGCAACATGAAAGAGTAGACAAATTGGATTGTTCAAGAGTCTACTGTATATCATGCGGCGCCTGCGATCAGAAATATATTGGCGAAACGGGGAGAAAAATTAACACAAGAATCAAGGAACATCAGAGTCTGTAGAAAAATTGACACCGAAAGATCAGAACTAGCTGAACACATCGCACAGACTGGACACGAGATCAATTGGAAGGCAACAGAAAGAAGAGCTCCATACGGGGACAACATAAGGAAGCGCAAGATTAGGGAAGCTGTTGACATCCTTGGGGAGAACAATTTAATAAACAGGAGATTGGAGGAAGGTGGAGTTAGCGATAACTTTGCCTTCTGCCAAAGCAAACTCGGGGAAAACAAGAATGGAACAAGACCAGCGAAAAGGAGACGCATGAATCAAGGATCTACCGCTAACAGGAGGAAAATCGATCGCAAGGAAGAAACTGGGGGGAAGTGGTTTTCGGCAATAAAGAGGAGACGTCAATGAGTGATGCCCATTTCAAATAAACCAGTACAACTTTGGGGGCCTGGCAGTCACGGAGCTGGGCAGACGGATAAGCAAACCGTCACGGAAATTCGGCGTTATGCCCAAAATGCACTAGAAATTCACTTGAGATGCCTTTAGCTATTTATTTATAATTAGGGGTTGAGGTAGGATGAACCAGCGGATAAGAATTTCCCTATTTAATAGATATAGACGGGATACCACTGATTCTTATTTAACAATATGTACGAAGCAACGCACAAACTAACGGGATTCTTCGATAAATCGTCAAATGCTATGATTAAACTATGCGTATTTTGAAAGAACATTAGATTGTAAGAAATAAAACAGTTAGTAAGCTTTAATTTAAATCGATCTATATTAACATCTCACCGTTGGGGAGATAAGAAGATATCCTCACAGCGAAGCTGATCCTGAAGTATTTACTACCATAGGTCAACTTGACAATAAGGATGTCCCACTTTGGTCACTTCTATTACCGAATGCTTGGCCTGAACTTAGGCTAACCACTTATCTTTTGACCTCCAGATGTCACTATCAGTAACACGTCTGATTATGCAACATCTGAAGGACTATGCTATCTGTTCGCATGAAAGATAATACTTCAAAAACTTCCTAAATATTGAATCAAAGCTATGACAACCAAGATGGTGAGCTTCAATTTTGGTTTATATATCTTATCGTTAAATAGAATTGCGATCTCGTTTTCGCAACTTGACCATGTTGTCAAAGGGACCTATGGCAGGGGGTTTCTTGAGGCCTAATCACTCTTCTCTTCCCTCATCCAT